TACGAGAAGTCGGGCCAATAGATCAACGATTACAGAAAAAGAATAGTCAATAACAAGCTGAGGTCAGAAAAGCCAAACAGAAATACAAGATAAAAACACTCTCTGATTACCAGTAAATGGAAACCACATCGGGGCACTTAAGACAAACTAAAATGGGTTTGAATAACCCTAGAAAGGCAGGGATTGGTCAGAAACTACCTTGTAACTGCAAAACGTGCATGTGTGTTGACGATGCAATGATTTGAATGAGGTTCGCTCCAATTTTGTAGTGGAGCTATAAACTTGCTCTGTCGGAAGTGGCTGGTGGTTGGTGGCTGTCAGAACTTCACATGTATATGGGACTTAATGGGTGATGGACCAGATTGGCATCAACCGTAAAGTATGAGTCTGTCTGGGGTTATACCAAGCATGGTGGCCCAAAATGAGCGTGGTCAGGTGATCGTGCCTCTCCAGCATGATGACAGTAGCCATAGAACATAGGGAGCAATTTCCTGAGTGACAGATACAGAGAGAAAAGAGGGAGGATGATAGTCCAAATATATAGGGGAAGGATTTAGGGTGCTCCAGTCTCTCTTAAGTTTCTCCTCGTTCTCGTTCTAAGGAGAAATTACATGGCAGATGCATTGTTTTTCCTTGCCAGTGTTACATTATATAAACAACCATGTATTCTCCCAATGAACACAATATACAAAAAAAATATAATTCTACTATATTTGTTTCAGATAAGTCTCTTCTAATATGGTAAAAATCACGATCTGCACTTTGTTTACATTAGGACTTTAGCGAAAATAATAATATGTTGTTTATTGCAGTGTGCACAATACGAAAATGATGGGTCCTACCTAACAATTGTACCGAGCTAATAAAATAATTACTAAGAGCTATCATGCCTTGGGCAGACACACACTGTCTCACCATCAGGAAATAGCATTTATCAATTAGCACCACTGGGCATCAGAATGCAGTTGCAACATATAAATAAAATACATTGGTAGTCATAAATAAATACTCAAATATGAAAAAGATAACGTTGCGTTTTTTTATAGTATTAAATAAAAAAATAAAAAATTTGAAATACTTGCAGTAGTTAGCTGTTCAGATGCACACACTGGCAATTTTCATTCCGATATTAACCACTTAAGGATTAATTCTACAATTTGCTATTATAAAACCTGAACTAGCTTATATTAATATGAATGCCATACGGATGTAGCTTTGGCAGCTCTGAGCAGTCTTCCCGTTATTCATTGAGTAAAACATTCTGTTTTAAAATAGAATTCTTATTAGAACAGAATGTTATAGAGTGTTAAATGTTGTCCACTCTTTTCAATGCACAATAGCAAGTTCAGAAAAAGCCTTTTAACTCTGCTATATGGTAACATGCCAGCTTTTATTTTCACAATTAAGGCAAAGTAAAACACATATAATTTAATAAAAACCTGTGTCATGCAAGGGACGATAAAAATAATATTTTTTTGTGAAACTTAATATAAAGTAATGGGAGAATGACTTTTTAAACATATGTTTAATCTACACCAACAGTATATAATAAGCTAATGTCGTTAAGTGGACTAATTGCCTTTACAGAACTTTGTTCATTCATGGTCTTTTAGCAAATCACTTATTGGGTTGCAGTCTTTCAGCCTAGGGTGAACAGATGTCTTCTTAAAACAGGTTCATAGGCAGTCTCCATTAAAGAGATTGCTCACTTGTATAATGTACTATTTTACAGTTTAATAGCACAATATGGTCACCCCCAATCCAGTTTAGCTTTCTTCCAATATACACAATAGGAACAGTTTTTGCATTGAGCTGATCAACGTAAGATTTATTATTTTTGCCAATTTCATGATATTGCAACATTTCCGATCAGAAATTGCAAACCCATCAGAATTTGTGATTTTGGTTTATTGGCTGATAGTTCACTTAATTTATCCACCAATTAGGCTCAATGGTAAAACTCACCTCCTATCCCTGTCCAGTTTTCACAAGTCTAAAGAAACTCTCTATGCACCATAACCACTTGAATGGTTTGACTTCCTACCTGGGATCTGATGGACACTGTTGCCCTCCTCCACTATCAATGCCAGAGAGTTTATGCAGGAATGTCAACTGCCTCTACTAAACTAAGTGCTGCAGTGCAGAGCTAGATCATTGGCTGAGCAGTTTGACTACTTACAAGAGGGTGCAATGGAACTCCTGTCACCTGTTATGCTTGGGGAAATGATCAGGAACACAACTGCAGAAATTAGGATTATCTTCCCTTTAGTAAAACATTTCTACAAAAACAGCAAAAGTCCTGAAGGCGAAATATAGTACTGTAGCTTTAGGTATATTTTCAGCAAGATAAGGCAGGCTTTCAGCAAAAGCTAAAGTAGGAGTTTAGCTGAGTAGAATGCAGAAACAGCTATTGTAGCAGTCAATAGTTAGCAAGCAGAGGGAAGTTCAATTCCAATAGTGAACAAAACAAGTTCTAGGAATTTAGTATAAGGGTATACTTAAAATGACACTCAATTAAGTGGTCTGGGTGCCAGGTCCCCCCAGGTTTTAACCCTTCAGATGTAAACATAGCAGTTTCAGAGTTAATCCAACCTCTAGTGGCTGTCTTCCTGACAGCTGCTAGAGGCGCTTCTGCGATGCTGGAAGTGAAATTTGCATCCAGCATGCAGAACGTCCATAGGAAAGCATTGACAAATGCTTTCCTATGGACTGTTTGAATGCGCGCGCGGCTCGTGCCGCGCATGCGCATTCCGCTCCACTCGGGAGCTGACTTCGGTGGGGGAGGAGAGGTCACCAGCTCCGAGGGAGCCCGGCCCTGGATAAATATAAGTCACTGAAAGGGTTTTAACCCCTTCAGCGCCAAGGGAGGGGGACCCTGAGGGTGAGGGGGTCCGAAGGATGCTATAGACAAGTTTGTTTTCCTGACACTATAGTGATCCTTTATGGTTTGATGAGAGGAGTCCTTAACAAGCCTGGTCAGTGGGGATTTAGAATGAAGCATAAATGGTGACACAGTCCCGGTCTTCAGGTTTGGAGAGAGAGGCAGGTGCGGTAGTTCAGTCCGAGATCAGGGTCAGGAGAAGGCAGGAGAATACGTTAAACAGTCCAATAGTTCGGTACACAGGAGTAGAAACAAAAAGAGCTTAGCTGGCACAACGAATACGGAAGTAACTAAGCAACTCAATTCTGGCGCGGCTTCCCTATGTGGCGTGAGAAGCTTGCGTCATAGGAGTGGGCGGAGACTATACTGCGTATAACCGGAAGTGAGTAGTCATGAAATAGTCTGACAGGTAGGATCTGACAGAACCATAGCCACTACAGCTTTGTGTTCTTTCAATATACCTCACTGTTTGAGGCTGCCTCATAGTGCTAAATGTTTTGTTTTTTGGTTTGTTCTATTATATTTACATATAGGTCTCCAGGGAATACACCAAATCAGGGTTTGGTTAACACAATTGTCCATTTCGTCTGGGGTTCAATACAGCAGCTAAGATAACAAAATATTTTAAAGAACTATAGTAGTCAAAGTGGAAGTAAGTTTGACAGAGATTGGCAGATAATAGCATCACTTAATTCTCCTTTTCTCTGTACCTATTGATTAAAACTCATCCAAAGTCACAAAATCAGTTAGAACAGGAATATTTGCATTCATTATTTGCATTCATTGTACACTTGCGAAGCACAGTTAGTCCAATAGATTGTAAATAAAACTACTAAGGCTACCTACAGGGAGTGCAGAATTATTAGGCAAATTAGTATTTTGACCACATCATCCTCTTTATGCATGTTGTCTTACTCCAAGCTGTATAGGCTCGAAAGCCTACTACCAATTAAGCATATTAGGTGATGTGCATCTCTGTAATGAGAAGGGGTGTGGTCTAATGACATCAACACCCTATATCAGGTGTGCATAATTATTAGGCAACTTCCTTTCCTTTGGCAAAATGGGTCAAAAGAAGGACTTGACAGGCTCAGAAAAGTCAAAAATAGTGAGATATCTTGCAGAGGGATGCAGCACTCTTAAAATTGCAAAGCTTCTGAAGCGTGATCATCGAACAATCAAGCGTTTCATTCAAAATAGTCAACAGGGTCGCAAGAAGCGTGTGGAAAAACCAAGGCGCAAAATAACTACCCATGAACTGAGAAAAGTCAAGCGTGCAGCTGCCACGATGCCACTTGCCACCAGTTTGGCCATATTTCAGAGCTGCAACATCACTGGAGTGCCCAAAAGCACAAGGTGTGCAATACTCAGAGACATGGCCAAGGTAAGAAAGGCTGAAAGACGACCACCACTGAACAAGACACACAAGCTGAAACGTCAAGACTGGCCAAGAAATATCTCAAGACTGATTTTTCTAAGGTTTTATGGACTGATGAAATGAGAGTGAGTCTTGATGGGCCAGATGGATGGGCCCGTGGCTGGATTGGTAAAGGGCAGAGAGCTCCAGTCCGACTCAGACGCCAGCAAGGTGGAGGTGGAGTACTGGTTTGGGCTGGTATCATCAAAGATGAGCTTGTGGGGCCTTTTCGGGTTGAGGATGGAGTCAAGCTCAACTCCCAGTCCTACTGCCAGTTCCTGGAAGACACCTTCTTCAAGCAGTGGTACAGGAAGAAGTCTGCATCCTTCAAGAAAAACATGATTTTCATGCAGGACAATGCTCCATCACACGCGTCCAAGTACTCCACAGCGTGGCTGGCAAGAAAGGGTATAAAAGAAGAAAATCTAATGACATGGCCTCCTTGTTCACCTGATCTGAACCCCATTGAGAACCTGTGGTCCATCATCAAATGTGAGATTTACAAGGAGGGAAAACAGTACACCTCTCTGAACAGTGTCTGGGAGGCTGTGGTTGCTGCTGCACGCAATGTTGATGGTGAACAGATCAAAACACTGACAGAATCCATGGATGGCAGGCTTTTGAGTGTCCTTGCAAAGAAAGGTGGCTATATTGGTCACTGATTTGTTTTTGTTTTGTTTTTGAATGTCAGAAATGTATATTTGTGAATGTTGAGATGTTATATTGGTTTCACTGGTAATAATAAATAATTGAAATGGGTATATATTTGTTTTTTGTTAAGTTGCCTAATAATTATGCACAGTAATAGTCACCTGCACACATAGATATCCCCCTAACATAGCTATAACTAAAAACAAACTAAAAACTACTTCCAAAAATATTCAGCTTTGATATTAATGAGTTTTTTGGGTTCATTGACAACATGGTTGTTGTTCAATAATAAAATTAATCCTCAAAAATACAACTTGCCTATTAATTCTGCACTCCCTGTATTGTGAAAAATAATTGAATATCACATTTTTAATATGCAAGTATCAGCCAAGTTCTCTTGTATGAAATTTATATGAAATCAAATAATATTTAAATAATAAAAAAAATATAAAGTGTACCTGGATCATTGCATGTTCATTGGGAACACAAACTGTACACGGTGATGATAAGCAAGCAAGAATATTACATTATCAGAACTCTGGCAAAGGGTATAATCCCAAAATTGGACAAATTGTCCTTAAACAGTATCTCTTCATTCTCAACAATAGAACACACTTGGGAAGGAGGTGATGAATTAAAATATGTTGATACACTTTTAAAATTAGCTGCAGTCTCACACAGAGAGTTGAATGCATGATGCCCAGCAGTCTATCAATTCATTAAGACACCATCCTAAAATTGTTATATAGCCTATGAGCTGGCTGGCCACCACTGCCATTAATCATCATTTTATGGTGACATGAAAATTAACTGCAGATTTGAGGCTAGCCTTGTATGTTGCCGCATGATTAAATAGGATTTTTTTCAGTAACTGGTTCATAGTGAATATTTTCCTAAACTAATTGTAATATAATTAAAACACATGATGGATGTATCATATAATCCAGGGTGATTTACTCTAAATATATAAAATGCTTTTTTTTCTTTTATGGAGTGTCAAAGGACTTGTGCCTGTGTAGAAATTTGATTACCATGGAAATTAATAGCTTAATAAATAAGTGTAAAGGCTTATGCATTTAATATAATTTATTGCAAAAAATGCTACTGATTTATCTTAAAGTGAACTTTAATTTTTATGGCCAGTGCTCACAGAGTCATTTATAAACTGACTTAATGCATTGCTCTAACATCCTTTCTTGTTTCAGAATATCAATAGTTTTCAACAAGAAATATATTATGTATGTCTGTATGAATATTTCCAGATGGAGGCAAATACTTCAAGGAACACTATAGGGTCAGGAACACAAACATGTATTCCTGATTCAATAGTGTTAAAACCACCATCTAGCCCCCTGCCTCCCTGTCTCCCTGACCCCACCCCCTAAATATAGCAAAATCTTACTTTTATTGCTGCTGGCTCTGCCACTGATCTGTCTGCTCGGCTGACATCATCAGAAGTTTTGAACAATAGCAAATCACAATGCTTTTCCATAGGATTGGCTGAGACTGTCAAGGAGGCAGATCAGGGGCAGAGCCAGCACAAGTCAAACACAGCCCTGGCTAAATCAGCATCTCGTCATAGAGATGCACTGAATCAATGCATTTCTATGAGGAAAGTTCAGTGTCTGCATGCAGAATGTGGAGACACTGAATGCCAGTGCTTCACAGTGTGCAGCACTGCCAAAGGAAGCACCTCTAGTAGACATCTGAGGAGTGGCCAGTGGAGGTATCACTAGGCTATAATGTAAACATTGCATTTTCTCTGAAAACACAGTGTTTGCTGCAAAAAGCCTGAATGGAATGATTCTACTCACCAGAACAAATACAATAAGCTGTAGTTGTTCTGGTGACTAAAGTGTCCGTTTGAGATAAAAATAATTCCTGGGGGGGTTACTCATATACTCCATGCGCATTCACCTGGGTGATGACCGACCAGGCTGTAAGCACGGTGATTCAGACCAATCAATCTATGGAGGCCTGCAGGGGCAATAAATAGGGAGCAACTGAAAGGCTGGCACTGGGGAAGTTTAAGGGAGGGGTAAAATGCAGTTGCATGATACTCCACATGGGTACTAATGAGTACTATGTTACAAGTCTCAGCATGATGGGTAATGTAGTCTGTAACTCCATCATAATAATGCTTCAGTTTAAACCAGACAGTTATCAGACTAATCAACTGATATGCGTGCCAGAGCATAGTTTGACTGGGAACAAAGAAAAAAAAAGTAGAACATGTTGCTTTTGAGTTTGACAATATATCCAATGAGTTTCTCAGTGGAAAATAAACAAAAACTTTTACATAATAATGCCATTACAAAAAAATAAACACCTGTAAAATGAAGGCATTGGTATGCATTCTACTGTGATTACAGTATTAAATGCATTTAAAGAAACAACAACGAACACTAAGAACAGCTTTATTGGACATACAGGTAGACCGTAGACATCTAAGTAAGACAATACAATAACGTTTAAAATAAGCTGAAAGAAGGCCATCAAGGATTTATAAAACTAGATGTATCACCAGATCTTAGTGTCTGACATTGATAATCAGACCAGGATTAATCATAAGGTGGCCTTAGGCAGTCACCCAGGGCCTAGGGGTTAGACATGGACCCCAGAACTACGAATTTACTTTGTTTCATTCACCATGCCTATGTGAAAAAAAATTCAGTGGGGCAAACTGGTAATCTGCCTAGGACCCTGTGGAATCTTAACCCTTTTGATAATCGTGCATAGTCAGCCATCTTGTCTATAAACCACAGTAATAGAATTACTTACTGCCTACTGGCACTTCGTCTAGCTAAATGAGATACCGGCTTACTGTATAGTTTATTGGTACAGGTAACAAATCAAATGATATTTTAAGCAAGGCCCTCCTCCAAGACTAGAATTAAAGGGCGTCTCTGATGCCCCAAACAACTTATGCTCAGTAGATTGAGCATAATATTCCATCTATACATTGTGCTAGCAGTTTTGCTACCACATTTATAGATAAGTAGAAAAAAATATTTAAAAATAGAATTTTTTTCCAGCTGATAATGACAAAGGGGAGCAGAAAAGACCTCCCACCGGAACTCCTGATGCTCTCTTAAACACAGGAGGTCCTGATGCTCTCCTAGCATGAGCAGTGGTTGCTATGGAAACTCCCTAGATGGCGCTTCTAGGAACAGAGTGAAAGCCCGGAGATGGGTGCTACATGAACATGAGGAGTAACACCCACGAAACTTGAAGATAGCGGTGCTGGAATGGAGGAGAGGTGAGTAAATATCTGTATTTTACATTTAATACATCCTGTAACACATGCTGTATTCAATGTATTTGGGAGCGATTTCAGGTAAGTTGATTTTTACACAACAGGTTTACTTTAAATGATCAATTATTCCTTGGATAATTCATTGAAAGAGTCATATTTTTATGCATGCTATTCAAATAAACTGTTTCTTCCCCTGCCCATTTGTCTACATGTATGTGCTACCGCAAGCTGTCTGTTGGGTTCATATATTTGCTTCCGCTGTGCCTAATTGTATTTTTATTATTTCTTATCAAGAATTTGAACTCCATATTCATAAACCTTCCCTCTTTTGGCCATCTATTGAAATATTATATATATTTAACACAATGCTTGAAACACCAAATAAGAATACATTTAAAATCTGCAGTATCAATGTTTGAAATCGCTGCATAGTTGGTCTGCGACCCATGGCAAACGACATATTTTGTGGGTTTTATTTAATAATTTTTATATTGTACATTTAATAATGTATTGCATTTTAAACATATTTCTTACTATCACTAAAGTAGAAGAGGACCATTGACATTAAAGATGCATAAAAATGTCAATTTAAGACTTAATGAAGAATATAGATTTATTTTTTTTGGGACTTATATGAATATGATTTATCAGACCATCTGACACGGGGTATTTAAACACAGGATGAGTTATTGCTTTTTAGGGACGAATGCGATAAAACTGGTATGTCTTCATCCTGCATAAAAGCAGAGTAAATGACCAAAAAAATGTCAATATTACCACTGGGAAGAATGCTAAAAAATTGTAAAATGATAAATTAGAGTACTCCTGGTTCTTATGAAGATAATGATTTGGAACAAGAAATAAGTGCATAATTTTCTCCTGTAAGTAGTATTAATTTGTCATATTCATAAAAGAGTTATGCTTACTCTGCCAAAAACCAATGGAGTAATCAATATTATGTGCCTTTACCAGAAACATGAGTTTGACTTTCCTCTGCTCTTGTTTAATACTCTGTTATAACAGTTTCCTCATCCTCTTCCTGTATCTCAGCTTTTATCACCTGTTTCAGTAATACTGCAGCTCGTTAAGTTGTGTTGGTCTGTTTTGCACATATCCACATTAATACACGCTGATGTTGGGCATATTTCATGAACTCCCATAAACAGCAACCAAAATGTTGCCTCTCTGCTGGAAGTCTTGTAAATACCTGCTAAATCTATACAAATGAAAGAGTCAATTTTTCCCCAAAATTGGCCAAGGTTTTTCCATGAATTAGCCATTGGCCAGGGAATGGACAGTCTCTCTTGCACAAAGCGAAGCATATACTAATAATATCCAAAAAAAGCTAGATGCTCCCAAATAATTAC